CACACTTCTGCACTTTCTTTGTCGAGCCCTTGCGGTGCGTCTTGTCGCTGACCAGCAGTTTCCGGAACGAGTGCCACGTCATCATCGAACCTTAAGAGTCCCAGCCGTTCGCCACTAATGTCAATCCCACCCTTGAGTTCATCTTACAGAGCAAAGTTTCTATACAGTCAGTAGAGAGTTTGGGAGAGGGGGGAATGGTGTCCCCTTATTTCACGCTTTTCTCTAACGCAATTCATATGCGATATCGAACAGTGTGATATGTGTGAAGCATCCGGAGTCTGCTTCCTTTCGTAAGGTCGGTCGATGCCCTATTTTGCTGGTGCAGTCTATAGTGCGTTGTACTCGAAAGTATCGAACGCTTCTTGCCAGTCGACAATAGAAGTCATGCACGGAGGGGGCGAGTTTCCCTCGCGAGCTCAAAAGTTGATTTAAAGCGAAAACGTCATCCGTTGTAACGTAGTTCTATCGTAATCCTGCCGGTTCTTCCAGACGGGTAGACAGTCCGTTGTAGCCTTCGACGAACCAGCGCTTAACCTCAAGGCAGCAATAGCGTTAGCGGCCATTTTTCAGAGGAGTCGGTCGCTTCTGCCTCGATAGGAGACTGTCATCCGTTACTGTGGCTTGTTCTCTGAGGATCGAATTTTTCGAACTCGAACTCACTGCCGCCTGTCCGCCACTGCTTATTTTTCGCAGCTCACCTCCACATCTGGCGATCATTCGCCTCTCCTCAACTGGATGGCGCCTCGGATGATGAAGCAGCTAGGCGCACTGATTGGCGCCTTTATTTTCCGTAAGGTAAGCCGCGGTATTAAACTATGTGCAATGCTGTTTGTCCTCTGAACTACGCCTGGAGTTACGCAGGCCCTCGTACTCTTTGTTTCGTTACCTCTTCCTTTACCGTACTGCTGACTATAGATTGCCTTGCAGGATGATGCCCTAGCGCATAGTATAACTCCATGCTCCACTAGCTTCACAGCTTAATTGACATCATGCTTTCCTTGTTCCCATGTTTAAAGTGGTGATTAAACAATGGGGATTTTTTATTTTACTTTTATTATTGGTTTAAACAAATAACTGAGGTTGTAAACTGAAATAAACATACACGTAAATTACGTTAATTAATCGCTGAAATTTTTCATCCTGCCATTTTGTTGCGTTGTGCAGAAGGTGGTAATGACAGCAAGGAGATGGCTATTGTGACTTACGTTACTACCATGCGCTCTCACCGTTCGTCACAGGTTTCAAATACAGAATGCAAAGAGCCAATATGTATATTTACGTATTACTTGCGATCGCCATGTTCGCAGTACTGGTAAGCATAAATCGTTTGCATAAGAAATTGTGGTTATTTGCAAATTTAAAATTTTTATCATTTATCTTGCAGCCGTATAGAAGGTGTAGGGAAAAATCTCTTATAATCACTTATGGCAGGAGAAAATCATCTTCATCTTCCATCGCTACTTCTCCTTTCGGGTCGCGGATGCAGACGCGTCAGACAGTGTTTCCAACGTTCCCGATCCTGTGCCAGAGTCTGAGCTTCGGCAAAAGACAA